TGGGCTCAAAGTTGAGAAGAATTACATTCTTTGCCTTTCCTTTGTTGTTTTACTGCGTTGATGAGACTTTGACCATCTTGTCGAGGGAATCGGCGTAGTTGACATAGTTTCACGTAGGTACGTTATGAAATTAACAACTTTGGGGAAGGCAAATCGCTAAATCTGTCGGGGGGATGTATTATCGATAGTATGGCAGGGAAATTGAGCTGAAGGTTTTTGTAACGGTGTATCCTGGCTAGGTTTGTGATATTTCATGTCGATTGTGGCCGTGCTAAAAGTATTAGACATCATTTGTTATAGATGTTGATGTTTTTAATAAAACATCGTCCAACGAAAGAAGCTAGCAAAGGTAGTTGTTGGCTGTTGTGACATTTTTGGCTGGGGAAGAAGGAAGAATGCCCCCTTCCTGTTACCGTACTTTATGACAGAATCATGATCTTGTTGTTCACATATGGGTAGTTACTTTGTAGATAGTGTATATGATAGTATTAAAGTCTGGAATATAGAATAATTCGTGCTGAATTTGCTAAGAAACTTGGTAAACTATAAAACAGTACTTCTTTTTATTAAAGTTCAGATTATTACTCGCAATACTGCTCGGTTTTGAAGTAACAAACAAAACAGTGAAAGTATCAGGAGGAAAAACAAAAGAAGCAAGCTAGCTTTGTTGATTTCTGTCAATGTTTAAATTATTTAATCTTAAAAAATTTACTACAATTTGAGAATTACCATTTATGATCACTGCATTACTGAGACTCAAGTTTTTTATATTTTGCCAAAACTAACTTTCTGGTAGATAACCTTGATCAAAAGTTTTAAAATAACAAAGCTGGCAGAACTATCAAGCTTTCTCCACACTGTCATGTTTTCACTTTTGAACGCAATTGTGACTTGTGCTTTTTGGTTTGTTTGATTTATATATCTTTTTAATCTTAGTATTACGTTTGTTTGTTTTGTGATGTCTGTAGGGGTATTGATAAAATAAAACACTTCCTGAAACTAGTTAACAGTTTAATCATTTAAAAACTACATTTTTAGTAATTTCAGATGTATAGATCAAGAGCATTTTAAAACGTTTATAATGTGAATGAGGTTCATTGCCAACTGTTAGAGATCTAAAGTTGGGCATCTGAATTAAAATTGTGATGTAACAACATTTCATATAGTTTAATAAATCCTTTGAATAGTTATTGACGGTCTGAGAAACTGCAAAGTTTTAATGGTTTTATAAAAGGGCAAACTAATCATTTTAGTACAAGCAGAAAGTTGGCAGAAAGACTGAGCATTTTTCAGAGGTCCTGTTGTTGTATAGAAATTATTTCTTGATATCATATTTCAGCAGTTATTTGTTTGTGTTGCCCTGGTACTATCTGCCACAGGGAGCCACACAAAAACGTTACAACGGGTATAGAGCGAGTGGAAGACCTCGGAAAATATGGAGTGATGGCATTAAGAACAGCCTTACAGAAATGAACATCAAACTTAATAGTGCTCTTGACAGAGCTCATCAACGAATGTTACATCTCCCCCGACACTTCGATGATGTACAAGGTGGAAAAGAAGAAGAAGATTTGTTTGTGAACAATTTACTGGTCGCTGTCAACTCCAACATATAAAAAGATTTCCAAACTTATATAAACTGACATCATAACAAATCATCATCAAGTGCGTTGGGCGATACTGCTTTATATTTCACAATATCCAGCTAATTCCAGTGAATGCACTAATTTTTCCAAAGTTTAATCAAAGATTGTCTAAAGATCATCTTTCACTGTCTTTCTTTGTATCTGTAGCAATTAATATTTCTAGTTGTTATAGTATTTTTCAGTTTGTCTCATCCTGTATATGGTGAAAGCATATTCACCTCCTCTTTCTTAAATAACAGTGAAGAAAACTTGCATTTTTGTTAAGACATTTTAATAATAGTGAGTTTTTTATGTTGAAATCTTACAGTTTTATTAAGAGTTTAATAATAGCCAGTTTTTGTGTTGAAGCTAGTTATATGTAAAAATAATTTGAAATTGATTTTTCTGTTGCCTTCCATTTTTAGCCGTGAAGATAATGTTGTCATTATAAAATTGTTCTCCAACTGGTATCAGTGATCTTGTTTCTTCCACAACTTCTGTTCTTTAGCTTAAAAGATAAAGTTTGTGTAACATCTTCCTGTTTTCTAATGCAAGGATATCAAGAATAGTTTTCTCTACAGATTTCTTCTTGAATTTAGAAACACTAAATCTTTAATTAACACAGTATATTAGGAATAATTAGTTACTTCAGTCAAATTTTTAAAATGCCCTCTACACCAATAAAACCAGCACAGTTAGATAGCTGTAAACAATCTCTTTCCAATGGTACCTCATTTAGGCTTGTATGTCATTTCTGAACTGAGATATGTAGGTTTTTTGTGGAGATGAGATGTAAAAAACAGCTGCTAAAACTTGTGACCCAGAAACAAGAAGTTTTTCTCTGCGCAACCTACTGCGCAGTTCTGTATCAGCTTTGTTGACATTGGACTGTCATTGGACAAGATGGCAGGCAATGAGACTCAGCCTGAAAAATGTCACTGTACATCTACCTAGCCACCGTTCAGAAAGAAATTTTATACACAAATGTAAAATTGGACGGAGAATTCAATTATAACTAGCATTACCAGGACGAGTAACAGTTAAAGCCTAAAGCCAACCTGAAAAACTAATCGCTTTTTTCAATCAAACTGATGTAACAGAAAAACAGAGGAAGTCCGGCTGTCGTAGACATGCGCTGTTAATCGGGTTCCTTCCCGCTGTTTTCAGCTATTTAGAGTGGGTGAAAATCACACCAATCGCAAAATTTCATGAGAGATTAGGACCCATCCCGAAACCCCAGCCGACATTTCCGAAACAAGTTTCAAACGGTTTCCATGGTAACGGAAATTGCCAAAAGACCGCCAATTGCCGAACACCGTAGTCGCTAGAATAATATAACAGTGAATGTTGGGGAAAAAAAACAGTGGATAAAGAGTAAAGGACCCTTTTCCACACCCTCAGGGATATTGGGCATATAAGGCTAGACCTATATATGACAATTGGTATTACACATAAACTTGTGATAGATAGATGTTTCTAGTTAGCTCAGAAAATACAAACACATCTTAGGAATAATAAAACAGTGAGTGTTGGAAAATGACATTGAATATAACACATAAACTAGTGACTTCTCAAAATAAAAGTTGTTTGGCCGAAGAAGATTACAGATGAAGAATTGAAGAAAACCAAGTGTTCCTTGCTGGTAAACATTGCCAAAAAGGAGAAGATGGAGATGGCATGGACATGTCTGCAAATGCTTCGTGGAACTTTGGCAAGAACCTGGTTGATGGCAGAGGTGGAAGAAGACTGTGATAACCAAAGAAAAGCTGGAGGGGAATAGCAGAATGGGAAATGAAATGTAAACTGGCACAGGGAACCATGGGCAGAGAAGCAGCAGAATCGGCAGATATGGAGATCACTTGAGAAAGCCTTGTGTATCAGCAGTGTTTAATGGCCATTCTTCTTCTGCCTTCCAACTCCCAGTGAAGCATAGGCCCTCAACCAACAAAGGTCGTTGCATGCATCTCACCCCATGTCCTCCCCATCTTTTTAACTTCACTCTGTAGCTCCCTTCTCCATGTGTTTTTTAGCTGCTTTTATTTCTGTGCCCCTGTGGGTTTGTTCCACTGCAAAGACATTGTAGGTATATTGTTCTCACGTTTTCTCAGTGTGTGTCCTATCCAACAGCAGCGTCTTTTCTTCATTTCTTGGTCCACTGGAAATTGTTTAGTTCACTCCCAAAGCTCAACATTAGTGATTCTATCATGCCATTTAGTTCTTTCGATTCTGAACATCAGTTAATGAACGATTATGGACATTGGGAAAGGGGGGGGTGTGTGGATACTGATTGTAGACCTGGCTTATTATTATTTTGTTGTTTTTAATTTCATAATAAATGTAAGAAAACAAAACGGTTATTATGTTGACATTATAGGAAATAAGAATATTTTTTTGTAGGTATTGTTTTATTATTATTCTATTTTTTTTTTTTTTTTAAATTTCAAAACAAAATATAAGAAAACAAAAGTTATTTTATGGACATGGCGAAGAAAAGGGAATACTGATTGTAGATCTCGTTTTATCACTGTTTTTATTTCTTCTTCTACTTCTTCTTTGTTCACCAGCTGTAAGCTCTGGTTGAAAGTCCTGGTTGTTCGTCCATTTGGACTTTGGCTGCGCCAGGGTGTGTACATACATTTTATTGGCTTTTTTGTGTGCAGTTGGTTGTTCCTTGCCGCTCGAGCAGATGCACTCTGACCTCGAAGGAGGCGCCCCCAGTTAGTCGACTCCTGTGACATGCTTGTTGAGTAGGCAGTGGTTTTATTCTTGTTTTCCAGACAAAGTGGCCTTGAACCTACACAGGGATTGTTATTTCTGATTTAAGAAAACAAAACAGTAATTTTATGGGCATTGGATGAATAAAGGAGTACTGATTTTATGATAACTTAGTTATTTTGGATTTCAGAATAAATATCCCCTGTGTGGACTCCGGGGCCCCATTGTGGGGAAAACAAGAATAGACCCACTGCCTCCCCAAAAGCATGTTGTAAGAGTCAACTAATTGGGGAGCTTCCTTTGAAGACGGAGTGCGTCTGCCGGAGAGGCAAGGAACCAACAGTCTGTATTCAAGAGAATGAGATCTGTAAAACTGATGCACACGCAACACTCAGGTTCTGGAGCAGGACTGCAGTTCAGTAGTAGACGAGCAACCAGAACCTTCCGCCAGAGTTTACAGCTGGTGAACGCGAAGAAGAAGAAGAAGAATAAATATAAGAAAATAAAAGTTATTTTATGGGCATTAGGGGAAAGTGATACTTATTATATTTCTTGTTTTATTATTAATAAATTTTTTTTTTTTTTTAAATTTCAGAATAAATATAAGAAAACAAAACAGTTATTTTATGGGCATGGTGATTTGAAATCACAAGCACACTGATGGATCTTCAGAGCGATGCTTCCTTAGAGACAATGGCATTATCTGCGCCATCCTCAGGGGCTGCAACAGCAGGCCCATTGTTGACACTACCACCACTACCACTACCACGAACACCAGTTGTGCTGAGGGGTTTCACAAAACAGATTGCACAGGGAGTAGTGGAGGAAAAGTTTCTGTGTGAACATTGTAAACTAATATTGAGGCATCCCATGCAGAGTAGGTGTGGCCACAGATTTTGTCGGTCTTGCAGAGATGAGTTAATCAGGTAGGGTTTTGTTTTTAAGTGTTGTTGTTGTTGTTCTTTTTCTTCTGCTTCTTCTTCTTCTTCTTCTTGTTCTTCCTCTTATTTTGTTCTTCTTCTGCTTCTTTTTTTTTTCTTCTGCTTCTTCTTCTTCTTCTTCTTCTTCTTCTTCTTCCTCTTATTTTGTTCTTCTTCTGCTTCTTTTTGGTTTTTTTTCTTCTGCTTCTTCTTCTTTGCTTCTTCTTCTGCTTCTCCTTATTCTTCTGCTTCTTCTTTTCCCTCTGCTTCCCTCGCTCCATCCTCCTCCCCCCCTACCTTCTTATTCTCCATTCTTTCCCCTCTTTGCACTTTTGGCTCGTCTTTGTCTTCTCATTCTCACTTCTTTCCCCTCTTCTTCTGCTAATCTTTTCCCCGGCTACAGTGTTCAGTTTGCTAGCGCAGTTTTTAGGGGGATTGTCACAGGAGCTACAGAATTCCTGTTTTGTGCAATGCTCTTGGTAGGCAGCTAGCCTTTCTGCAGGGAGAGACAGAGCCATATGGGATAAACCCCCGTTTAGTAAAGTCAATCCTCTGAACTTTAACTTCATAATTTTATTCTTCTTGTTTCCTCCTTCCCCCTCCCTATTCATCTGTCTTGCTCTTCAACAACAACAAAAAACAGCAAAATTATGGTAGCAGTAATTACTTTATATATATATATATATATAATTGTTGTTTTTCAACAATTCTTATAATTAATAGCCAGAACCAGCCAATCAGATGTCAAGCATGCCTCACAGAAGGAGCTACAGAAGAAGAGAGTTTGCTAGAGTTGGAATCTGTAAGTTGTGCTTCTGTATAATATGCCTGTCTTGTTTTCCTTTGCCGGGTTTTCCTTTCAGCTCCGGCGGAACGTCCATTTGAGGTTAGGTCGACCTGGAAGCCAAGGTCATTTAAAAACAAAAAGGCCAGCTCTGTCAGCACCTGAACTCATGACCTTGAGATCCGCAGGGGTGTATAGCCGCTACATCATGGCGACTCCCTACTCACCACACCGGGAACTATAAATTCATATAAACAATTAAAAGATGCAAAATGCTATGATGTGGAGATGTAACAAGATCTACCAGCCTTTCCTAAAACCATACTACAGGGCTCAGTACAAAGGATGAGGAGATTATGCAGGCCACATGCGACATGAATCCAAAATCTGACAAGACTAGATGGGCCTCAAAAAGGAAAACAACAAGACCATCAAATCTTTTTATCGGAAGTGAAAAACTTTACCCAGGTGGGGGACTCAGTGTCACACAGTGTTAATGAGACTGTTGATAAGACCAGAATAAACATAGGTTTCTGCAAATATTGTTTATTCCACATAATTCTAAAAAAGGTAGAGTCGGGATATGTGAACCAGCATCATTGCACACGGTTATAAACCATAGGTGCTCTGCCACCAGTAGGGACAGCTGATAAGAAACTGTCCACCTGTGTCGCCGTCCGTACGCAACTCCGTAGCTACCGCTACGTTTCTCTATTTACCCCAGGGTGTTAACTCTGGTACCCATTACGTAGAGGCTGGGTGAACCCCGGGAACCGCCTAGTTTCGAACACCGGCCGTAGGCTGCAGTAAGTCGGAGCTGGATTTGAAAGTGAGTCTCCTATCAACTGCGCTAACGTGACCGCCTTCTGCATAATAGTTGTTCTCCTGTAACCATAAATGGTGTCTTAAACTACAGTACATTGTTGTTATAAACGTGTGGTAATATGTCCCAGAGTGGTGCATTGATTTTGGTCATTGGCATGAGGTGCAGTTACGACTGTTGTGGGGTGTATACATACCTCACCTCGGCCACTAGCAGGCTCTGTACTGGTTTTACGATTTCCTCATGCAAGAATCCTGCACATCCTCATCATGCGCTACTAATAATGGTCTGTATTGGCCTCAGCCGAACTGGCTGACGATCTCGGAGTTGGTGGCCCCCTGAGTTGCAGTGCCTAAAAATGCTCTGGCACTCGTCAGCTCACCCCCTGTGCATGGGTGATAAAATGCCTGGAAAACTAATTTGGAACACGAGTGAAGTCTGCGGGTGAAGTACCCTACTAGATGTCAAACTCAGGTTGATATGTCAGTCTTCTAAAAGTTCTACTTATGGTAGCTTAAATTCAAATGTTGACTGTCCTGTTGTATGACAGCAGAGGTCCAGATGTCAACAGGCCAACTGTGAATCTTTCTTTCTCCCAAAAAACAGCTTCAGTATCGGATGCTGGAATGAAAAAGGTTATAGTCTAGAGGATCGACTTCATTGCATCAGGTTTTATCCCCTACCACTTGGTCCCTCTCTGCAGGATAGCTAACCACCTGCAGATGGTGCAGCACAAAGAACAAACTCAGTAGCTCCGGCGACGATCCCCAAGAATCCCCAAATTGCACTTGTGAACTGAAAGGTGCAGTTGTGAAATGAACCCACGACCCTCAGAACGTGAGACAAATGGCTTGACCACTTCTCCACGGAGACCCCTCCACCCACCCAAATGGATGCTGAAATGTTAATTTTTAGCCTGAAGATAAAACTCACATTATTCAAGGGTAACATGCTATTAACAACGAGCAGTGTTGGAGAATGACACCAGGAATTACTCATAAACTTGAGATTTTTCATCATATGTGTCTAAGGAGAATTCTGCAAATATTTTAGCCAAACAAGATCACAAATGAAGAACTGAGGAGGAAAACAAATTGTTCATCACCGGCAAACGTTATCAGAGGAAGAAGATGAAGATGGCTTGGACATGTTTGCAGAATGCCTTCTGACACTGTTTCAAGGACAGCTCTCTGGTAGAAGAGGAGACATGGATGACCTAAGGAAATCTGGAGAAGAACAGTAGAAAGAGGAATGAAGGAATGTAAATTCATATAAGATAATTTGTGCAGAAAAGCATCAGACATGCAGCAATGGAGATCACTTGTGAATGTCTTATGTTAACAGCGACATGAAGAGGATATATATGGATAGAAGAACACAGCAATAGAGGATTGCTTAAAAAACAAACACAGGAGATAGAGAATTACTTCTTCTTCTTCAGCATTCCTATCCCTTGAGGTTCATTGCTGCAGATATCACCCGCCTCCATTCATCTCTCTGGTTAGCCTTCTCTTTCCAGTTGGTAACACCAAGTGTTTGCAGATCTGTCTGGATATTATCTCTCCATAGTCTTCTTGGTCTTCCTCATGATCTATGACCATTCATCTCCCTGGTGTATACAGTTTTTACTTCTCTGTCATCTGACATTCTCTCAATACGCCCCAACCATTTCAGTCTATTAGCTGTCATGATGCCAGTGATCAGTGGTGATTTAAACAGATTATGAATTTGGTTGTTGCTTCTCACTCTCCATTCACCGCTATTTGCATCTTTGATGGGAGAATTGCACAGTTTAAAAAATAGGGAGGACGGGCAAGCTGCTGAACATAATTGATGTCAGTCGGCTGACTTTCTGCCAGCTGGTCCAAGACTTATGCTTCACTGAAGGATTAGAAGCAGAAGAAGAAGTGCTGTGTATACTACTACTACACAAGCATGAAAAGGGGTTCTTCATTTATTTGTGCTTCACACATTGATGACATATTTGTTTCTTTTTTTCTTTCTTTTTTTAAAACTGTTTATGTAACAAAAACATTACCGTTTTTATTGTATTTAGATGTTTGATGACAAAGCTGCGATAAGAGAAATGAAAAAGATTCCAGTGAAGTGCGTCAATCAGGGATGTCAATGGAAGGGAACTTTTCTGGATTACTCTACAGTATGTATTTTGTCTTTGAAATTAAATGTTGCAGGCACACTCTTAGAGTATCATGGACTAGGAAGAGGGAAACTATTGACATTCTTCATGATCTGAATATAAAAGGGGACTGGCTCATAAAATAAAGAGTATTATTTCTTGTAAACTGAAAACTTGTACCATTACTCGTGTGGGTTCTGGGGTCCCAGGTTGGTGAGAAGAATGGATCCCTTGCCTCTTCTGACAAGCATGGCATTCAAGGTGACTGATTTAGATTGTTTCTTTCAAAGTCGAGGTTCATCTGCCTGAGATGTGAGAAACCAACAGTCTGCATACAAATATGCTAGATCTGTAGAATGGATGTGCATGCAAAACGGAAGTTATGGAATAAGACCAAAAGTCGGGAAATGGATGAGCATTGGTGTCTTCCTGCTGGAGTTTACAGCTGGTGAAGAAGAAGGAGAAGACGTCTGCCATTTTAATAATGGGGTGTGTTTTTTGTTGTTGCAACTGCAAGAAATAGTGGCATAAATGGAACTGAAAGTCAAAACAAAGGCTTTAGTTTGAACATTCGAAAAGCAGTCCCCACACTTGCACACTCTCTCTCTCTCTCTCTCTCTCTCCTGCGCACACACACACACACACAATGTCCAATAAGTGGTATAAGTCTGAAGCAGATCGATACATTTAAGTACTAAGTTACCTAAAAGTGACAGAAAATGTATTAAAGAAGATATATTAAAGAACCATATGTCATTGTTGTAACTAACTCATAGAGCAGGTCGAGAAAGGTGGAGGTAGGTATGCTGTCTGCGCGGTGGCAAGCATCGCTTTAGAGATGCCGGATATTTTCTCCAAGTCATGCTAGTGTGTTGGAAAATGAACAGGCTGATAAACTTTCTGGTTCTGCACCACTTGGTGGTGAATTGATGCATGAAAAGCTAGATCTAAGGGTCTTTTGGAAGCAAGTTAAGAACATGTAAGTAGAAATAAATCACCATGGTCTGAGAATGGCCTGCGAGGAGTAGTCACCAGAGGATCTTGCCGGCGCTCAGCACTCAAAAGAAGAGCAAGATGGACATACAATAAGACTGTTGCCAGCAAAATTGTATTATAGAAGTGAGTCATGCAGAGTTTGCATTTTGTTTATGAAGGTTGTTAACTTAAACTGCCTGTCGCCCGGCTCTCTAGCATAGTTGGCTAAACCGGATTGCACGGTGACCGGTGACAAACTCCTTGTGGCCCGGGTTCACTCCCAGGGGTAGGCAGAAAAGCCACATTTCTCCCAGATTTACGGTATTTACAATGGAATCAAGGCTGAAAGGTTGCGATATCCATAATACCAAGCCTAAGGGTTAACAACTCATGGCTTCTGGATACTAAAACAAACAAACTCCCTGTCTGTGTTGGTACCCCAACTTTCCCCAGCATACGTTAGAATTAAAACACCATTTGAATTGAAAATATACAACTTGGTTTCAAAACTATAATTTGAAGCTCTATATTTTGTTGAGACTTTTGAAATCTTGTCAGTGTGTATCAGGGTTTTTTCTTTTGTATTTCCTTAGCACTGAAAGTTGCTAGCTAAGTTGGTAAAATGATCTGTTCATTTTATTATTTTTGTCTACAGTGTGACATCGTTTTTGATCTGTAATTGTTGTCTTCAGTATATTTGTATATTTTTTTTACTGTGGCCTGATACTAGTGAATTATATGTCCTTTTTTAAACAAAATTCTTGTAGGCTTATGAGGTAGATTGAAAGATTCTGATGTAGACTGCTTGAAAAATAATATATGTTTTTCGGATATATGCTCCTGCCTCTGATAGCCTTATGAAGTAGACAGTTTAAAAAAAAAAAGGTAATATATTTTCCTGGAAAATATGTTCCTTTTCTCTTGTTGCACTCTAAAGTTTAAAACAATATTCTTCTTCTGCCTTTTATCACCAATAGAGCATAAGCACTCACCCAGCTCATGCGAGTCATTCTATCCTTTGCTATTGCATGCAGTTCACCCTGTGTCTACCACATTTTGGTTTTCACTTCACTCTGTAGTTCTGCCCATGCCTATCCCCCCCCCCCCCTTTATTTCCGTGCCTCTGTGGGTACAGTGTAAGGCTCCTCTAGTTATATTGTTCTCAGGTTTTCTGTCTGCCTGTTCTATCCAGTGCCAGCATATTTTCTTCACCTCTCAATTCACTGGAATGTTTGTAGCTCTCTCCCAAAGCTCCACATTAGTGACTCTGTCATACCATTTAATTACCTCTTTTCTACTCAAGGACCAGTTAATGAATCTTTGCAGTTTATTAGTGGTAGTTGTAGCTGTTGTCCATGTTTCCACTCCATACAGCAATATTGATTTGACAAAAGAGTTGGAAAAAAAAATTATGTTTTAATTATATCTCCTTTCTCTCGTAAATAAAAGATTAATTAATTGCTGAATTGTTTTATTTTCTGTCTTGTAGCCTTCATAGTAAATTAGATGAATAAATTAACATCTGATGCAGTAAAACAAACCAAGTATTGGGACAGCTAGCAAATTTTTTTTTTTTTTTATACAACACGAGACAGTCCTAGTTAGCAAAAAAAAACAGCTGGTGTAAAGCATATTCATTCCCACCCTATGCTACCAGTGACTGACATTATCACTCACAACAAACCAGAAAAGAAAATTAGTAACCATGGAAATCTTCTGCTGCTTCTTCTTTACGTTCGGTTTCGTATGCTCAGATCAGACCATCAGGTGTGTTGCCTCTATGAACTCCTGTGTCAGCAGCAGATCCTTCATGGTTCCCCTATAGCTTGCTTTGCACACTTTACTCTTGAGGCCAAGTGTCTTTTCGAAGTTGTAGGTAGAATGGGTGGGCAGGTCTGATGAATGTGCTCAGGTGTTTGTGGTCCTGTTTAACAGTCACTGTGGGGACTGTACAATCTTTATTTTATGCATGTGGTAGTTGAGCCTGCATTGTCCTGTTCGTAGACGGAAAATTGTTGTACCATGGAAATGAGATGTCTGAGAAGGGCTGCAGGAGTGACAGAAAGAGATAAAATCAGGAATAAGGGCATAAGAGAAACAGTTGGCACAGAACCAATTATTGATTACATATAAAGACAGCAGATCAAATGATTTGCCCATTCAAACAGAATGCCTTGTGATGCCACACCATACGCTGCATACACTAAGCGAAGAGCACATGGTATACCAAGAACAATATGGAAAGATAACATCCAAAAAACTCTATGCAATGGCATGACGTGTCTGATCGAAGTGGCTAGAAAGGCAAGCAGCAGAATCTTATATCTCCTTTGATACCTGAAGCAGTCAAAGAGGAAGTGAAGAAGAAGAGCCGTATGAAATAAACTGTAGACAGTAAACATATTAATGTAAACTGTAGACAGTGAACATATTAATGTAAACTGTAGACAGTAGACATGTTGATGTAAACTGTAGACAGTAAACATGTTAATGTAAACTGTAGACAGTGAACATATTAATGTAAACTGTAGACAGTGAACATATTAATGTAAACTGTAGACAGTGAACATGTTAATGTAAACTGTTGACAGTAAACATATTAATGTAAACTGTAGACAGTGAACATGTTAATGTAAACTGTAGACAGTAAACATATTGATGTAAACTGCAGACAGTGAACATATTAATGTAAACTGTAGACAGTAAACATATTAAAGCACATTAATGAGAGGTATATTCTGATCTGGTGCAGACTCATGAATTTGGCTGTGATAAGAAACTAGTGGAATGCAGTCTGTGTGGTGTTCCTGTGTCCCAAGCCCGTATAACACACCATGAGACAAAACAGTGTCCGAAGCGTAACATCAGCTGTCAACATTGTAAGGAGCCTATGGTTTCAGAACAGCTGGAGGTAAACTCTGTTTATGTGTTCTTTTATCTTCTTTTTCTTTCTCCTTACCCTTGTGTTGGATGAGACACTAGCTGAGACATCCTGAGAACAGAATAACTAGAAGGAATGTCTATGTACTGAGACCCACAGGGGCATAGAAATAAAGGTAGAACAAACAAAAAGAAACACACATGGAGAAAGGAACTAGAGAAAGTTTAACAAATGTGTAGGACAAGAGGTGAGCTGCGTGTGATAGAAAAGAACAGAATGTGAGTTGGTTGAGAGCCTATGCTCTGTTGGGGGAAAAAGGGCAAAAGACAAACTTTCTACCTGGGCTTCGGGTAAGAGTCGACAAATATCTACTTAGATCGAACCTAACAAACCTTGGACTTATCTCAGTTGATATATGCTTACTGTTCACCCGCTGTAAACTCAGGTGGGAAATTATGGTTGTTCGTCGATTTCTAGACTTTGATCTTGCTTCAGAACTTGAATTCCCATCCCCATCCATTTTACAGATCTGGCTTATTTGTAAGCAAACTGCTAGGTCATTGTCTTTCAGGCATTCAAAAATAAAAATAAAAAAATAAAACTCCCCTAATTAATCGCGCCTTATACAAGATGCTTGTTAGGAAGGTAGTGGGTCTTTTATTTTATTTTCCTAGTGCTATTGCACATGGGGTAGTACTATGCTGAATAATGATCTGCTGATCTGGTTACATCACAGTATGTTTTATTTGATCTACACCTTTGTAACTGGCTTGAAAGATTGGCACCAGCACCCAGCTATACAGTCAGTAAGTTAACTATAGTAGAGTGGCTACAGAAGGTTTCCAACACTGTCTTTTGCCCCATTTGTACATTTTAACAGACAGCTGTTGTGTCCATCACTAGCTGTTGTGTCCATTCCTAGCTGTTGTGTCCATCCCTAGCTGTTGTGTCCATCTCTAGCTGTTGTCCATCCCTTGCTGTTGTGTCCATCACTTGCTGTCCATTCCTAGCTGTTGTGTCCATCCTTGTCTGTCTATTCCTAGCTGTTTGTCCTTTCCTTGCTATTTGTCCATCCCTTGCTGTTAATGCCCCACTTCTGTTCTTGTTGATCTCCTCTTTCCAATTTTTGTGGAAGTAGAATATGGAAATGAAAGACAACTTTAACTTTACAAGTAAGCACGTGAAAGACTCTTTATGCAGTGGTCCCTAGGAAATTTGTTGCCAGACTCATAGTTTTATAGACCGATCAACACTCAGTGCATGATGTCAAGTCATGCTAGCCACCTATACTTCCACGGACATTACTTGGTTCCCATTTAAGGCTGGGTCCACCTGGAGAGCTAGGTCAATTTAAAAAAATAACCCTTCTTAATGCGGATGCAACCTCAAGATCTTTAGGCCATCAGGAATGTGTCTGGTTGCTATGCTGCCAATGCTCGAAGTTTAAATGTGTATGATTATAATTAGGAACTACAAGACTCATTACAGCTGACTTTAATGTGGAAATGGCACTCTGTGATGATAATAATGTGATTTTTGTGCATACATGCATAGTTTCTGTATGTGAGTGCATAGTCTGTTTATGTCTATTTGTACACACATTTACATTAGTCTTCTAATTTACAGAAACATCTTCAAGCCCATTGTCCCAATTTACCCATAAAATGTGACAAGTGTTCCAAGCAGATTACAAGATGTGAGGTAAGGGAAAGCATGCCATTACTGTTAAAGTAAAGTTGTTGTGGGATTGGGGGGGGGAGGGGGGGGGGGAGACTACCTATTCTGTCGTGACAAGAAGACAGTTTAAAGGAAAGAGAAGGAACAAACTCAGTATTTGAAGAGTTAAGAATTGGGCATGCATGCCCATCTAACATTCTGCCCTTTTAAATGCCCTCCTGTCATGCATTATTTCATTCATACGCCGGTTAACAAGTAATGGTAAACATTCTAAACTGCATCCAAATGTTAAAAACTAGCACTGAAATGTGCTCGAATTACACCTATATTTCTAACTGCAGCAAACTAAAATAATTGTAATTAATCTAGAGGACATATACCCTATTCCTTAAATAGTTTTATTTTTTAAATGGGGCGTGTAGTCTGTGCTTAGATAATATTCAAACAGTTTCCGATTTTATGGGGCTGGTGGTATTTTTTAATTTGTTATCTAATATGGTTGCACAGTTGAGCTGCAGAGTATGCTAAACCAAAGTGAGACCAGGAGAAAAGATATGTGCCAGTTTGGCGTCATGGCATGGAAGAACATCTATGTCAGAAATGATTGACACCATATGTGACAGTAGGCTGTAGACAAATGGGATTACCAACACCTCGTGGTGTGGACTTTACTTGATACTCATAGCATGTATATTGTTATATCTTCTTCTACCTCTTCTTCATTTTTACCGGCTGTAAACTCTTGTGGAAAGTCCTGGTTGTATGTCTGCTTCTGGACTTAGTCTTGTTTCGGAACCTGAGATTTGCCTGCACATCTGTTTTACAGATGTGGCTTTTTTGAAGGTGGGCTGTTGGTTCTTTGCCTCTCAGACAGATGCACTCCAACTTCAAAGGATGCCCCTAATGAGTAGACTCTTATGACATGCTTGTTGGAGAGGTACTGGACTTTCCCCCCTCCCATGATGGGCCCAGGAAATCATACAGAGAGATATTATTTGAACATAACATAATTTAAAGATAAAATGAAATTGTAGTATAAAAGATGAGTTTTTGGAAGGACCGAATGTAAGACAGACCTGCATGCCCAGTTTGTGACCCTTTGAAAATAAAATTTGTTTGTTCATTCGTTTGACTTTAAGAAGAGCAATGTTAGGTCTGCGTTCTCTGCCTATCCTCTGGGACCCCAGTGGGGAGTGAGGAATAGACCCACTGTCCCCTTCATAAGCAAGTCATAGAAGCTGACTAATCATGAGTTTGCTGAAATGAGATGAGTTGGGCCAGAAGATGCAGATTAGTACAGACTAGCTGTAAACCACAGAAAAATGTGCCAGCCACCTTTTTAAGGGAGAGCACAGATTAGGAAGAAGAAGAAGCTACCAGTCACTACTTATTTTTGTTGTGAAATTTAAAAAAAAATCCTAAACATGTGCCTGAGATTTGTATTTTGATTGTAGATTAATCTGTCTTCAATTACGTCCTCAGTTAAAAACCCACAAAGATGAGGAGTGTCCCTTTCGTATTGTTGAGTGTCCTGTGCCAGACTGCAATACCAAAGTAAGCCACATTTCATCATTGGCCTAAAAGTCTGTGGCAAGTTATTGTTAATTAATATTGAATACATGTTTGATGATTGTACACTTTACTTTTATTTGTTGTCTTACTTCTGCTGGTAGCTCTAGAGTAGGGCTATTCAACTGGCGGCCCGCAGATGCCTAGAAAGTGGCCCGCGAATCATTGCTAGTTGTATTGTATTAGCGATCTTTCAATGCTGAGACTCTGGCCTGTGACAATCACCCATTTTCAAAATTTTGGCCGATGAGAAACCCTAGTGATCTCAAAGGGGGAGAAGAAACACATGATCATGATGGGACAGTATGCACTGGAGCAGGTCAACCAGTTCAAATACCTTGGGAGTGGTATTAGACCGAAGTGGAGGCATTAAGACTGAGCTGGCTACACGAAAAGCAGCCTCTAGGAGACTCTTTCCGACCATAAACCGAGGGTTTCATAGCAGAAGAGAAATTGGCAAGAGGACGAAAATGGCTGTTTACCGCTCTACCTATGTACCAGTCCTGACCTACGGGTGTGAGTCATGAGCAATGATAACAGCTCACAGAGGCCAATTTTAGGCCTCACAAATGAGATATCTGGGAAAGGTGGTCCAAGTGACAAAAAGAGACAAAGTCCGCAATCAGACAATACGTCAAGATCTTGATACCTAATCCTTAGAAACGCGAGTGGATCGGTCACAGTTTCAACGGTTTGGACATGTATGCAGAGTGGGAGAAAATCGGCCACCATGGCAGGCATGGGAGGCTAAGAACTAGACCTCCAGGGTGACCCAGGATCTGCTGGGAAGACAACATCTGACAGTCCCTAAGTGACAGAGGACTGGAATGGAACAAAGCCAGGAAGAAAATTGCTGATAGAGACGTCTGGCGAGCTCTCTGGCAATCCTCTACACTCCAAGGTAGAAGAGGAGCGACTAAGTAAGTAAACTTAGTTGAATAGCCCTGCTCTAGAGCACAAACAGAAATAATCTTCTTCGGCTATCCTCCGAATAACGCCACTGCGTGCAGCGCGGGAGATACTCTCGGCGGTAGCGGTAGTCGCCAGAAGTCCGCAATTTACACGTGACTGAGGCCCTGTCAGGGTATATTTTCGGCCTCGATAATTTGGGACCGTTATTCGGAGGATAGCCTCTTCTTCTTATGCATAGCCCGTAAAGTATGGCTTGCACATTGTGTTATGGTTTATAGCTGGGCTGTGATCTCTGCCCCTTTTTGTCCGTTTCAGATTTTCTACTAACTACTACTAATTATTCGCCTTTAATGATTTGCCTTTAGGAGGCAGTGGGTTTAGTCTTCTCCCCCCTCTCTATCTTTGGGGTCCACATGAAGAAAGTTATCTTGAGTATCATGTGTTGGACATTGTCCACAACACCCTTCAAGAGCAAGCTTGTCTGTACAAATGCGTAGCTAACATCATATGCCCAATGTTTCACAGGTATGAAAGAGGTCCTTTACAGCTTTGAGGAGAAAGAGGTGTAGGTCGATCACCACTAGCAGCAACAAAATAGGTAGAACAGGATGGTATCAATGCATGCATTCGGATATACATACCCATGTGTAACACGCATACATGTGTACATACATATGTACATACGTACATACAAACAACGTCAATATGTACATACGTATGTACACACATACATGCATTACACACATACATACGTACATACATACAACATCAATATGTACATACATACATTACATACATATACACATACAGAACCTCATGATGCAGAATAGATAAGTAACAAATCCCTGTTTCTAATAATTTATGGTTTTGTTATTGCAGCTTCCTTTTGACCAGTTTCCTAACCATTTGATGAAGACACAACAAAGCACCCAGAAACATCTGCTCTTCCTCTTTGATAAGATTGAGCAGCTAGAGAAAACCATCAGCCAGATGGAGGCTGAGGCTGCAGGAGCAGTAGGAGGTGCTTCTGGAGGGGCAGCCCATGGAGCGGCACTCGGCCAATTTGGAAGTTCAGCTACTGGTGGTGATCTGGTCACTGGTGCTGAAGGTATTAACATTCTTGTTCATTGTCATGTTGTGCCATTCTATGCCACATAAGGCTCACAGTCTATTTCTCCATTCCATTCTATCCTGTGCAATCGTTTTGATATCATGGACGGAATCCAGACAAGCATCTTTGGCTTCTCCCATCAGCATTCACTTAAGGGTTCCTTGTGGACGTCCTCGTTTCCTAAATCAGAGTATTCATTAGCCACTGACTTCATCAAGCGGTTTTCATCCATAACCTTCCTAAATGCACTGTGCACAACACACAACTTGACTCATTTGTTTACCTTTCCTGTAAGTTTTGGAAGCAAATAGTTTTTGTGGGGGGGGGGGGGGGGGGGGGGGGGGGGGTCGCTGACCCCATGTCCAGCCCTCTTTCTTTCTCATCCGGGTTTGGGACCAGCAATGGCGCAGATGGTATTTACATTGTTGACTTTATTTTCCACTTTTACGCTCATTTTTGACCGTTACGGCATGCATGTTGAGGAGGGCAGCGCCTCTTGTTTTTCTTCCGATAGTGGAGCTCCGGGACCCAGATGGGAAGCTCTGTATTCTTTTCTCCATGTATTTTTTAAGGTCTTCCATTATATCTTTTACACTGTGTGTTCCAGTAAAATAATTCTCTACTTATCAAGTTTTCTCAGTGCCTGTTCTGTTCAATACTGTTTGTCTTTTCTCCACCTTTTCATTTGTTGTATAGTTTAGTTTTCTTTATCAGCTGCACACAAATAATTATGTCATCCATTTAATTCCTTCTGTTCTGTGTAAGCATCAGTTCATTATTATACATGTAGCTTATTAGTAGTGACAGAAACTAATGATGTGGCTAAGCCATAGCAGGCAACCTTCATTTTAAAATGGCATGATATAAATTGTTTACGTTTGAGAGGATCGGTTTCACCGCACTGGGTTTTAACTCATATGGCTCGATTCCCTCCAGAGTTTAGTGCCTGGCAAGTGTGTCACACAAAGCATGAACTCAGTAGTTTCAGTGATGATCCCTGGGAAGAAGTATTAACAAGTATCTATATACTGATAGTAGCAGACTAGTAGTAGATACAGAAGGACACACAGACAGATTAAAATGTTGGTGTTAAAAATGTTGATGTAAGCTCTGTAGTAAGTTCAGGCATTCCTGGTTAAATGAATGTATTCATTTTGTTTTCTTAGTGGCAATTGATATTTGATGAAAACATTTGATTGATCAATTCATTTATTCATCTTTGCATTCACTCGCTGTAAACACCAGCAGAAACTTCTGATTGTTCATCCTCCTGCGGACTTCAGACTTGTTCCAGAACCTGAATGTTGTGTGCACATCCATTTTACAGATCTTACTTATTTGTATGCAGGCTGTTGGTTCCTTGCCTCTCACGCAGATGAGATGCAGTCTGACTTCAAAGGAAATCTCCAATTAGTCGACTCTTACGACATGCTTGTGGGGAGGCAGTGGGTTTACCCTTGTTTTCTCCCTCTGTGGGGCACTAGAACCCACACGGGGTATTATCAGTTAATTAATTCACCTTTCTGTTTTCCAGCCAGTGCAGTGGCAACAGACGCAGATAGGCAGAAGCTGAAGCTGCACGAGGACCTCATGGCTGTGCTGCATGGAGAGATCCTGAGGTGCATTAAACAAGTGGAGTCCCTGGATGCCCGGTTCATGAGGGAGGACAGATATTTTAAAGATGCATACAGAAAAATTGAAGTGCGTACCAAGTGTTGCCTTTAAAACTGTTTATAAGTTAGTTTTATGAGGAATGGCTGGCCTAGTGGTTCTAATGTTTGAATCTCACGGAACTTTATGTGATGCTCTTTGCCAGCTGCTCTGCAGATCAGGTCTGGTTTGAATTTGAAGAAGCAAGGTAAAACAAGAATGGGCCCTCCCATCGTCATAGTCCCATATTCCTGCATGCTGCTGGGTAACCAATTGCTGTTGGCTTTCTGATCAGATCCCTCCACCGCTGTCAGTCATTTGCACAGGCCTTGATGATTGCATATTTGAGGCTGTCATTCAGTGAAAATCTGTACCCAAATCTTTCTTGGTTTGCTTCTTATCTTCCCATCTACCCCTTTATTATCGTTTTGTAGAGTCTGGGGGGAGGGGGGTGGATCTCGCTATATGTCCATACCATTGCTGTTTCTGTCTTTTACTGTCGGGGGAATGTAAAGTAAAGGTTTCTTTTCCGCGCCTTTAGGCATATTGGGAATTTAGGGCTAGAACTATTTTTTTATAGACTAGTCGGCACTTGGTGGGTGATGTGGTCAGCATCACGCCTTTACTTCCCAGGACTGCGCCTGGTACCCACTCAAGGCTGGGTCGACCTGGAAGTCAAGGTCATTTTGGGGGGAAAATATCCTGCTTCAACAAACGCAAACCCACAACCTTCTGATTGGCAGGCAGGCGTCTAGCTGCCAAAGCCATGGCGACTCCCATTGTTGCGTAAGAGATTCTTTATTTCCATTTTGTTGAGTGATCATATGGCAGACTTTGTCATTTGTGATGTGGTCTCTATATGATACATCCACGGTTTTATGAACATATCTCACTTCCATTGTTTGCATTTTCCTTTCAAGTTTGAATGTTGAGGTTCTTGTTTCATGGCTGTATGCAAAGGTACTGATAGCTATTGTTGTAAGCTTTTGTTTTTGTTTTACGAGAAGTGTTTTTGATTGTACCCTTTTAAAGGGGTTTTTAAAAAAAAGACGACCAAACAAAACTGAGATACGTTTACACACCAAGGCAGAAGGGGAGGTTGGAGAAAGAAGACTAAATTAAAACTAAAGCATTTCTTCACCTTAGAGTAGATGAAGAAAGTCTATGAATAATAGTACTGGGAAAATGTTTCTTTATGTATGTATGTGCGTATATATATACACACACACATATATATATATAAATAAAATCATATTATTATATTAATATATATTTAACCATGTCTGTATGTTAATATATTTATATTTAATCATAGCTGTATCTTATTCTGTATTAAACCATATCTTTATGTTATCTATTGCTTTATCGGCATCCAGAATTTAGAGAGATCCATTGCTGGCATGGAGGACAAATTGCAGGATGTAATAAGAAAACAAAATGAAACAGATTTGCGGAGACAACTATCAGCAACAGGTGCTTTGTCAGATCCCAAAGAGCATGGGATCTTGTCGGAGTCCCCTGACGGCACAGTCACCTGGAGGATAGACAAGTTTACACAAGTCAGGCGTGCTGCTTGCAATGGACTGCAAGCGTACATCAGTTCTCCAGCGTTTTTTGCAGGGCCTTTTGGCTATAAAATGAAAATTCGGTTCTATGCTGATGGGGACGGCACCGCCAAAGGCAAGGCCTTCTCATTATTCATTCAACTACAGAGGGGTCCTTACGATGACCTCTTACTCTGGCCTTTTACCGGAAAGGTAATTATTTTTTCTTTCTTTGTCTCTTCTTCCTCCTCTTCTCTACTTATTTTATTTAGTCCTTTTGTTGTGTGTGTTTGTTGGGGGGGGGGGGGGTGTTTGAAAAGCATGCACCCCTGCTGAAAACTGCATTGGTTGGTACTGTAGTCTTTTTATTATAAGTGCCTTAAATGGTTTATTGTGCCAAGAGCTATCGCTTATTGTCTCTGGCTGTGTGATGACACTGAACTCTCTGTGTCCTCCATTTTGGTCCAGATGAGGGTTCCACTTTTTGTGTCTCTTTTCCTGTCTTTTGGGTGTAGCACTGGAATCCAAACTTGGAAATTGTCTGTTCTTCTTTTTATAAGGTTTGTTTGACCCTAGAATCCTATTGGTCAGGAAAAATCCTACTACTTCTGAGGATTTAACCAAACCACTGTCTCAGCATGCAGGCACACCAACTACTGTGCCATCAGGGCTTTTGTTTCTTCCTATATTCCATGCCGTGTGGCATTGGTAGTGAGACCTCTCCACGACCTTTTATCGTATGTGCTTTCTGTCAGTTTTCTTCTTCTTCTTCGCGTTCACCGGCTGTAAACTCCGTCAGAAAGTTCTGGTTCATCCACTTCTGGACTACAGGCCTGTTCCAGAACCTAGGTTTTGCGTGTGCATCTATTTGACAGATCTGGCTAATTTGTATGCAGACTGTTGGTTCCTTGCCCCTCAAGCAGATGCACTCCGACTTTAAAGGAAGCTCCCAATTAGTAGACTCTTTTGACATGCTTTTAGGTAGGCAGTGGGTCTCTTTTTGTTTTCCTTATAACAAGGCCCAGAACCCATACAGGGAAGTGAGTTATGACACAGATGATTTTTCAAACCATGAGATCAGTCTGTCCAGCATCTTCTCTCTGTGTCTCCCTTCCCCTCCAACCTTTCTACTGCCTTGATGTTCTCCAGTTTTCTCCTTGGCCAATCAGCAGTTCTCTTCATGAGTCCGTTTCTTTCAAGATAAATTCGTGATCTTTTTATCTATCCAGGATTTATCTCATCATTCTTCTACAAAACATCACCACCTCCAAATATTCTCTCACTAGTTGTCGTCCTATCCATGGAGTTGATTCACTTTCGTATATCAGGACAGGATATATATATAAGAGCTGAGAAAAGAATTCTGAAGATATATATATATATAGCTCTTCAGAATTCTTTTCTCATCTTAGTTGACAAAGAAAAAATTGCCTAGAATATGTCTGTTATTTACAAAATAGAAATATAAAATTCTAGAAAACTGCTGGAATTTAAGATTCATTTTTGTTTTCTCTTCCCTGCTAGATTTACTTCATGATTCTAGACCTGAAAGACTTCAAAGAACACAAGCTGGTCAGCTTCAGTGCCTTACCTGACCAGCCAGCTTTTGAGAGACCCCAAGGGGAAAATACTTCTTCAGGGTGCCTGGAGTTTGTCAACCTTAAGGAGTTTAGTGACAATTTGGACAAATATCTTGTCAATGATACCATTTTCATCAAGGCTTATGTGTCTTTGCCTGACGCCGTACAATCTAGATTGCAGAGTTTTGATCTAAAGAAACTGATTTCTGCTAGAAGATAATAAATTAATAGTCACTTTTGGTTTTTCTGTCCTGAGACAACTACATGCGATGTGAAAGCTATACCTGTGTATTAATGATTACTTTCGTCTTCATTTTGACTTCGGACTTCATGCCTCAAAGTAAATGACATCTCTTTATCTTTGTCTGCTTTATGCTTTTGGTTCACATTAAATATAATTTAAATGCCCTTTTTTTAGTGTGTTGTATGCAATGCAAAGGTTAGAGAAGTAAGGTACTGATGCCGTCTGCAAATAAATCAAAAATGAAAGAGGCGTAGAAATGATAAACAGACTGGAGGGGGGAGGGGAGGATGTAACGTTTTGTATTGCAGTAGCATATTTATGCATGTTTGCTAGGCTCATAATGTAATATACGTATGCTGTGTACGTGGTTGGTCAGGAATGATTTACAGGGAAAGAACAAATTTCATGATGGTCGGTTTTTTCCAGGATTGATTTTTCATTGTTAAATTTACATTTCTGTTGTGTGAGTATCAGTGTATCAGCAGTTTGTCTCTACTGAAATTGATTCACAAGGGCACATGTCAGAGCTGGTAAACTGGGATTCATATTGGCACTACATGCTCCTAACTTTAAACTGGTGAATTAGTTTAACATTTTTGGTACCAGAGGGTAGTTAAATTGGTTATCAGTCAATGTGATACCATTGGAATTGGGAGCCATTGTATCGGCTCACCTCTGAGAAGTTGTGGGTTCAGATCTACACAGGTCCCAGGTTGATCCAGCCTAAAAATCGACACCAGGTAATGTCCTGGGAAGACAATGCAGCCAGCATTATGATGACCACATTGCCCACAGAGTGCTGATTGGTTTATAAGATAGGTCTACCTCTAAATACACAGTGCGCCTAATGATGTGGGAAAGGGTCTTTTAATTTAATTACCTTGTGAATCATAAGTCTGTGCTGCTGCTGAAAATGGGGACACAGCTCTTATGGGAATTTTATGAGTGCTGTGATGTCATCTCAACTCATAAATTAATGCTTGATGCGTTCCTTGGTATCTAAAGAGTTAAATGTCCTGGGCTTTTTCGGTGGAACACCTTTAATTGATGTAAACTTTTTTCTTTATTTTTTTTTTCTGCATTCACTGGCTGTAAACTCTGGAAGAAAACTCTTGAGTGTTTGTCCCCCTCCGGACTTTAGTCTTGTTCCAAAACCTAAGTGCTGCCTTCACATCCGTTTCACACATCTGACTTACATGTATGCAGCCTCTTGGTTCCTTACCTCTCGGAGATGTACTGCGACTTCGAAGTATGCCCCCAGTCAGACAGCTCCAACGACATGCTTGTTGTAGAGGCAGTGGGTCTCTCCTTTTTTTTTCCCCGCAGAATGGGGCCCTGGAACCATTTTAAAAGATGATGAACAGAAGGCAGACCATCGGGGTACTTACTAGTCTTCTATAACAGTGGTTCTCAAATTATTTAAGACCCCTCTTTTTTTGTAGGTTATTTTTTTTTTTATAGGTCTTTAAATAGTCATACTGAAGAACAGGAGCTGCCCTGGTGTAGCGGCTAGACGCTCGCCTGCTGATCTGACGGTCGTGGGTTCAGATCCTGATGGAACTAGACTTTTTCAGTAATGGCCTTTGCTGCCAGGTCAGCAGGCAAAGTCATGGGAAGTAAAGGCAGCTGGTGTGATTTTGACCACATCATCCATCGAGTGCCAGTTGGTCTGTAAAGTGTAATTCTAACCCTATATACCCAATACTTCTGACGGCGTGGAAAAACAGCCTTTTGCTTTTTTACTACTGAACAACATATAAGGAATTTATAAATATTAGAAATGCATTCTAGCATTTTTTTTTTTTTTTTTATGATATCATCAACACCTTACATTTGTCAGGTAGACCTCCTAGGACCATAACATGGGAAAGACTGTTTCGTAGGGTAAAAAACAAAAACCTTTGCCTGTGCCATTATACCATGCTGGGGATTTCTTGATCTGCATTCATGCTTAACAAGGCAGTGGCTTTGTTGGATTGTGGTTTACAGCTAGGTTGTGATATCTGTGTCTTTCAGTCAGTCGTGTCCAATTAAAAAAAAAGTTCTTTCCTTTTACGGATGCCTGTTAGGGCGGCAGTGGTTGTATTGTTTTATCCTAGAACTCATGTGGAGAATAAGACACAAGGTTCAGATATCGCAGCCATGCTGTAAACCTGCACAACACAGTGACATCTTCTGGTGAGTGCAGAAGAAGAAGAATATTGTCTTCTGTATGGTGCCAGCTACCTTACCTTCCCACATATTGTTTGATGGCCACTTTTTCATCATGTAAGCAATTTAGTCACAGGTAAATCCAGCTTGCAGGGGATTTGAACACTGCCAGATGGGATATATCTAGTGCTTTTTTCTGGTGATACTTGGTATCAGCAGCTTTTTATTTTTTTTCCTAGCGCTGACGTAATAGACACTGCCATGAGTGCTTGCACCTTTTTTTTTAATACTGTGACGTTGGTACTGGCACCTTTATGCCTAGAAAAAAGCCCTGGATATATCGCTGACTTATTTCCAGGATCCCAAGAAGGAAGTACTTCTAGTATAAATGTAAACTTATCATGCATGTCAAAATAAATGGCTATGGAGGTTTGGCATGAGACTGCCTGAATCTCTTAGAAAACTAGCTGCAAAATGTAACCAGCCATGGCTGGCTGAGTGGTTAGAACGCTTGGCTCTCATGTAGGAGGCCCGGGTTTGATCCTTGATAAGGGATGGACATTTCTTTCCTTTTGGGAGCAAAATAAAAATCCTTACCTGCGCAATTTGTGGCAACTACATCAGTATTGCTGCCCTAAATCCTCAGCCTCGTGACCCCACTACCCTATGACCTCACTGTCCTACACCAATAAGTGATAAATACAAGACGGGGGGGGGGGGGGGGGGGGGGGGGGGGGGGGGGGACATAAACAAGCCTACATATTTATTTTTTCATTGTGTTTTGTTCCTCGTAAGCACTCTGCTGATGAAGGCTCATCACTGCAACATCCTTTGTTTGTTGTAATTTTTCTGTAAAACTGAAATATTCGTTGTTTTTCATTTTTTGTAGACTTACATATGGTAAGGCTTGACATAATTTGGTTGAGGGCCTATACACAGTTAGGAGATGAAAGGAAGGGTGTCAGTAGTTTCATTATCCTGTTACACTGTGTGTTACATCACCAGTTTATGTTGACTGTCTTTGGCGGTCAGTTGTGATGGACTTTATGGTTGCATACCTGAGGCCTGTCCAGTCAGTCAGATTCTGTAACCAGGCCTTTCTTCATCTGCCCCTTCTCCTCTTTCCCTCTACTGAGCTCTGCCGTATTTCTAATGAGGTCTTTAGAACCTATTACATGTCCACACCATTGCATTTTGCGCCTTTTCACTGTAGTTAAAAGATGGTTAAGGCTGCATGCCTAGTCTATAGGGTTGGTAAGCTTGATGATTAAGGCTGCATGCCTAGTGTGTAGGATTGGTAAGCTTGATGATTAAGGCTGCATGCCTAGTGTGTAGGATTGGTAAGCTTGATGATTAAGGCTGCATGCCTAGTGTGTAGGATTGGTAAGCTTGATGATTAAGGCTGCATGCCTAGTGTGTAGGATTGGTAAGCTTGATGATTAAGGCTGCATGCCTAGTGTGTAGGATTGGTAAGCTTGATGATTAAGGCTGCATGCCTAGTGTGTAGGATTGGTAAGCTTGATGATTAAGGCTGCATGCCTAGTGTGTAGGATTGGTAAGCTTGATGTTTAAGGCTGCATGCCTAGTGTGTAGGATTGGTAAGCTTGATGATTAAGGCTGCATGCCTAGTGTGTAGGATTGGTAAGCTTGATGTTTAAGGCTGCATGCCTAGTGTGTAGGATTGGTAAGCTTGATGATTAAGGCTGCATGCCTGGTGCAGACATCACTAACTGTATAGATATTTTTTTTTGTCCCTGGCAGAGAAATGTTCATCATTTCATTGAGGGTTCCAACGTGGGTCTCCCAGCTGAGAGTCCTGTATCCTCCCTGCTTGACTGGCTTCTTCTGGTTAAAACTTGTAGAAGTAATAAAGTGCTATTATGAAAAAAAGTAATTTGTACATAAGAGTAGAATTGCTGTCTGTAATACATTTTCTTACCTAGTTTGTTCTTTAACGAATTTGAAGCAAAGAAACACAGTTTTATAAAGTATTTTTCATTTCCTTGTTTTCTGATGCTATTAACAGTGAAGTCTTGTTGTGGCTCTCTTGATTGATTGAAACTCTTTGTACAAATTAACTTGAGGCGAAACCGCTGCATATTTGCTGTGCAAAAAGAAAAAGTAGCCTGTGCTAATGTGAATGAAGGGTGCCAGTACAGCCCGTGTCTGACATTGTGTCTGTAGTATGGTTGTGTTATGTTGGGGGGGGGGGGGGGGTAAGATTTGTGGAAAGAGATATAAGAAGGCACACATGAAAATTCTTGCCAGTCTTTTGTCGAGGCATGAACTAATGAATGCTGTTGGAGATCACAGGTGGTGGAGAGGTGTAACGTATCGACTACGCCAGTTAGCAAGTCATATGATGATGATGAGTATGTTTGTGCCAGTTAGGCGAATCTATCTATATCCTATTATTCTTGCTGTTTTGACTCATAAAGCGAACACAAATGGTCTCCATTGCTGCCGATCTGCTGCTTTTCTGCATATGGTATCCCATGTCATTGTGCATTCCTTCATTAAGCTCTTTCAGTCTCAAGCAATGCTTGTTGTGTGAGTGACTCTGTACTGTTAATTCTGTCTGTAGTATAATGTGCTTTCTTACTTTTGACATTTGGTCAAAACATGCTAAAAAATCTGACCCCCCCCCCCCCCCCCCCCCCCCCCCCTCTCCTTCCCCCATTGGTCACTATAACTGTATACTGCTACTTTAAAAGTAATGCATTAATTTTTTTTTAAGTCATGATTATAAGATCTTTTTTTTAACAACATTTTAGGGTAAAAGGGAGCCTTTGGTAGCTCAGAGTGGCTTGCATCATTTGATAAGC